ATTGAATGTACCATGGACTGCCAAGAAAACAAACAGATTCATCCTGGAGAGGGTTAAACCAGGCTACTCCTTGGAGGCAAGGATTCTTAGGCTTTGTTTGACATACTTTGGACATGTTGTAAGAGGGACAGGTCCTTGGAGAGGGACATCATACTTGGGAGGGTGGAGGGACAGTGCAGAAGGGGAAGGTCCTCTATGAGGTGGATTGAGTCAGTGATTGGGGTGATCGGGATGGGTGTGTCAGAGGCAGTTCGACTGGCACCGGATAGAGCAGGGTTTAGGGTTTTTATACATAGGGAGGGTCGCTATGAGTTGCAAGCGGCTCGACAGCATATAACAACAACAACAATAATTTATTGTGACTTGTTCCACCCAAAAGATCTAGAATTTGTCCAAAATACCATTGCATGGGCAGGAATATTCATGATGTAGCTTTCTGAACATGATTTATGGGTCAAGGAACTCCTTAAACAATGGATATAATTCTCCTGACAGAATTGGACACTTACTGTCACATGTTCATTGCTGCAGGATGGATGGGTTTCCAGCCTCAGGTTGTTAAAAGTTAGAGTGACCTGCCTTCCCTCGGGCACGGTGATTCTCCACTCACAGATCCGACTGTGTGAATTTGGGTTTGGGTAGTTGGGGGAGGAAAATGTCCCAGTAGAGCCTTGCAGGTCCCCACCACACTCTGCAGAGGGGAAAAAGAATGAGAAATTCTAGCTAACCCAAAATTACCCCATACATGAGGAATACACTCAAAATTAAAGTTTTATGTTTATTATCTTGCTAGACAAAACCAGCATTTCTTTATTTACTACTATATATGCCTGAAGGAGCTTTGGTAACACAGCATATAGTTTATTGCGTTGCTCACCAAGAAGTCAGCACTTGGGAGAAAGATGAGCAGTCTCTTATAAAGATTTACAGACTAGGAAACCTGAACCAACTCCAAGGTAATAAGTTTAGTGTTGTTAGCACAGCTAAGTGGTAGTTGCTAACTGAAAGGTTGGTAGTTTGAACTCACCACCCACCAGGAGAATAGACGAGGCAGTCTCCTGTTAGACCTAACGGCGAAGAATCACCAGGAATCAGAATTGATTTGAAGCTAGTGGGTTGGCTTTTTTAGTTTGATGTCTACCGGAGGACTTCTAAAGAATATTTGTATTAATTTTCTAGCTCTATTAATACTTGATCTTTGCTCCCATTGAGAATAATTACTGACTGGCAGCACTTTAATTATCATTATGTCCTAAGAAATATGAAAGATGAATTTTAATAGGAAAAAAAACCTAAACGCTAAAGAAATACCTTGCTTTTTTTCAGGAAAAATATTTATTTTACCTAAATTTACTAGGGCATTTGGGAATACTAATTCTCAAAAACTAAAGGCCCAGTGCACCAGCTTTACTATGAGCACTGTGATCAAAATCTCACTTTGTATTACATATCACCTGAGTTCTTTTCCTTTGATTACAATTGATGACATTCATTTTCTTATTAACTGATGAGACAATTATTTAATATCTATTTTTTTCCATTAAACAAATTTGTGTTTTCTTCCTACAGTTGTGCCTACAGAGTATTTTCCCAGTGATAGGCACTGAATAATATTTTGCTTTTCTCTCTTGAGTGCATCAATGAACTCACCTTCCAAACTAGATTCATATAGCAGTCTGAATCCTGAAGCAGTCAGTGAACCATCTGTGACAAACCTGACCAAAGCGACATTGCCAGAGGTGTCTATCCTGTCAGGAATGGTGTCTCCACAGAATCTGCCCAGTGCACTTCCTGTGGGAATGAATCAGTAAGTATGTATGTGGAGAGGTGATCAATTTAACCTCTACTTAAAATGTTCTGCATGTACAAAGGAAATAAGAAAGTGCAAGATCTTTCTCGTGAAGAAATGGCAAGATATAGGAATAAAAATACTTAAA